CGCCGCACGCCCCTGTCCGGGGCCGATCCCTGCCTCTGTCCCATGAGGGATACTGGCATGGCATGGACCAGCACAGCCCAGCCCTCCAGCACAGCACAGCCCTCAGTGCCGACCACCTCTGTGCTGGGCCTGATCCTGCCTCTGCCCCACGAGGATGCTGGCATCGCATGGACCAGTCAGCCCAGCCCTTGTCAAGCTCTGCAAACCCCAGCGCGTTAAACGGGGGCAGAGCTCGGGCAGAGCCTCCCCGGGCTCACAACTCATCCGAAAGGGAATTTCAGCCCCAGATTTTTTCATCCATGCATTTTTACTTCTGCCAGGGGATCCGGTGGGGCATGAGCATCCCCTGGGGCTCTGCTCCGCTGTGATACATCGGCCCGTCACGTCAGCCCAGGAGGCTCTTCCAGGACCCAGGAAACATCCCCGGCCCTATTTCACGAGCCCTTTATCATTCCTCTGCGTCCCAGAGGCCACCAGGCTCCTGCTGAGGCCACCGAGTGTATCCTGAGCCAGAGCCGGCATTTGTATGCGATTAATAAACATAGTTCTTCGGATCCTGTTGATCCAAAGGGGCCTAAATTGAATTAAGAGCCAAATTCTCATTTGAAACTCGCCAGGAGCTGAGCATGGAATTCCCTTAGGCTGGCTTTGGTACACACCACTCGTTATTTACTGTCTGCAGCGAAGTGGCGCTCGGGGTCCCAGCAGAGACGGGGCGATTCCTCCGCCAGCCGCCCGCCGCAGCTCTCCCCCTTCCTCGGCCCTGCCAGGCTCATCCCAAAAATTCAGGGAGGACCTGGAACCGGCCCCACCACCGGGGTCAGCGTGGACTTTTAGAGCGGCCGGTGACCGATTTCCAGTAGCTGCCGTGAATTTTTTAAACCTGGCCTTAGCTTCAGAGCAGACAAACACCTTGGGATGCTGGCGCGGGGTTTAATTAACAATTTATTCTAGTGCGACAGAGGACAGAGCAAGGGACGAGCGAGTGGCTTACGCAGGCAGCTGGGATGATTAAAAGTTAATGAGGTCTCCAGCAGCCAGAGCCTGGCAAACGGCGAGGAAGCCGGAGCAAGGGACGGGCAGGGGCAGGCAGTGCAGGCAAAGCAGCAATACGGAAGGTGCAAAGCGTCCCGCTGCAAGAGTGAGGGAAGGAAAATGCTTTTGGACTTCTCTGGAGAGTAGCTGGCAACGGGGAGGGTGGTTTGGGGCACTGGGGGGGCTCTGACCCTATGTCCTGCTGTATTCACCCCCCAGGGAGCGAGCCGCTTGCTCCAGGGAGCTGCTATAGACCCCGTCACCTTCCCTCTGTGTCACCGGGCCATGCTGGCCTGGATGGATCCGGGCACAAGCGCATCAGCCCCTGGGGTTTTGCTAATGAGGAGCAACCCCCCCCCCCAGTGTCTTGTGGCAGCTTTTTCCTACACCCGAGCCTGGAAGAGGGGGGAAAACTTCCCCGCTGCATCCCACTGCCCCCCTATGCCAGGGATCCCTCCCTGGCTGTCCCATTGGAGCGGGCAGTTGAGCCCAAACTGGGATCCCAAACTGGCAGGCGAGGGCACAGCGGCTGCGGAGCTGCTCGGTCCATGGGGAGACCCTTCCTGCGCAGCCTGGGCACCCCC